AAAAAAGAAATACAGCTTATACTGGAGAGAAGATGCCTCGCGTTTGTGATCACACACTACACACCAATGTGAATATGACTTTGGTATGGAAAGAGCATGTGATGTGTAAAGTAGTGTATTAAATTAAAAACCAAAAAGTAGAGTAAAATAATTCATCCAATTTCAGTGACTACATACACATGCTGATGAATTGATGTAATGTTTTAACACAGGCAATTGTTTGTGTCTTTTCAGTCCATCCGAGAAGTCACAGGCTACGTCCTAGTGGCCCTTAACCAGTTTCGTTACCTGCCTTTGGAGAATTTGCGGATTATTCGTGGGACAAAACTTTATGAAGATAGATATGCTCTGGCGATATTTCTAAACTATAGAAAAGATGGAAACTTTGGACTGCAAGAACTGGGATTAAAAAACTTGACAGGTAAGTGATGCCTCAAAAATAGCAAATACGTGCTTACTGTACAAATATGTAGTCACATTATGTGCGGTTACTGTGGAATGTGGAAAATAAGGAACACTCTCAAGCGCTTAAATATCTGCTGCTTGTTGATTTTATGAGACATGCTGCCTGTGCTTTTGTTCACAGATTTTTGTAAGTGTAGTTTGAAAGATATACCAATACTATATCTCAGCTGAACAGAAGTAAACTTTAAGGTCCTGTTCAGCGACTGAAAACTAAGATATGAGGTGGGTTTAAGAAAGCTTTTGGTGGTCTCAGATGAACAGTGGACCGTATCGTGAAATCTCTTCAGAAACTCAGTGAGAGCTTAGTAATACTCAAAGACTTTGTATCTAATTCGGTTAATCTTCACTTTTTTTTTTTACAGAATCACTTTTATTTGAAAAATATGTCTTATCCCTCTAATTTCTCTTATTCAGTAGCTGACAAAATGTCATAAGCAATTCTATCTTGAGATGCTTCAATATCAAACAGTTATTTTATCTCTTAAGGTTTAAGATACCTAATGCTGGCAACCTACAATTATTATGGAATTAATGTCACACCAATTCATGTAGTTCATAGTTCACAAAGGATCTGGTAGAAGAATTTTTGTCATAAAGTTTCTTGTCATAAATTTTCCATGTGCTCTAACAGAACAAGGAGTATTATTTACGCTAAACAGAAAAAGATCTATATATTATTCATCAAAAATATAGAAATTTTGTAAGTATTTTGAATCCACTCTGGGTTAATGTTTTCAGACAATGAAAATTAGACATACTAGAATCATTACCTTATTATAGTAGTAAATGTAAGACCAGCTTAACCAGATTGTCACTATTGACGCTGCTTGTTCTACATTAATGATGAGTATAAAATATGTAGTTTTAAACTGCAAATAGCTTCACTAATATGTGAGATAAAATTTGGAATATTTTGGGTGAAGAAAGGAATATGGATTGTGTTATTTAGGGCATGATTGCTATGAAAAGGATGAAGTTATGGTAAATGCAAATTATTCATGATTTATAGATTCCTTCATAAACATGTTATTTTCTTTCTTTGAAAGATAGTCTTTCTGTTGAGAATTTTTCTTTGTACTAAATTGATACTTAGAAATAAATAATTGCAGAAGGATGAAATTTGGAAATTAAATGGGTAAAATTTTGAATGATTAAATGAAGAATCTAAAAATAATATCATCCAGTACAAATGTCAATAGGAAGCACTGTGATTTTCTTCCTTTTCTCAACTAAAAAACTGAATACACTTATCTGAAATATTTTATCCTTGAATCCCATTTTATTCTACAAAATATGCTATTTTAACGGTTTTCTACATATTAAAATAGTCTTTACAGAGTTCTCATATGCATGTCCATATCTAAAACCAGTACTTCTGAAATATTAACAGTTATGCCAGTGTTAAGCATGCCTTAATTATTGAATAAATTCACATTATGTATTATGATTATGATTATTTCTTAAATATTGTCTTATCACACTGTTTCATTTGAAAATTATATGCCAAATTATTCTGTAAGAGGGAATCTATGAAATTACGGAGTATCATGGAATTGACTTTAGGTAATCTGCTACTAACTGTAATTCTAACAATCAGAAGTTACGTAGTAGACATAAATATATTTGTGTGTAAGAATATGTAAGGAAGGGGAGATGGCTCAATAGAATAAGTGCTTGCCTGGCAAGCAAAAGGGCCTGAGTTCAATCCCCAGTTCTGCAAAAAATAAAAAAATTAAAAAAAAGAATACATAAGGAAAAAGCACAAAAGATACCTGTTTATAAGGAAAGGAATTTGGGGAAACACACATTCAATGTAATATTTTTAAAAATCCACATATTCTAGATGGCCTTGTTAAAGCTACAAATGTACACTGAAATTTATTTCTAGGAAAAATGGTTTTGTTCTCTGAAAAGATGTTTATCCAAAGTTATATGTTTATTTGTTACATATGACAAGCTGACAATTAAAAAAAAAAACCAAAAGCCTGTGTACCAAGTGTAAGGCCTCACAGCCAATTGTAATTATAGGCTAAATATCAAGCCTGCTTTTGGGGGCTTGGGAGATAGCTCAGTAGAATAAGTACTTGCCTGGCAAGCACAAGGGCCTGAGATCAATCCCTGGTTCTGCAAAAAAAAGAAAAAACAAAAAAAAGAAAGAAAGAAAAAGAAAACCTGCTTATAAGCCATCTATCTCACTACATGCACTAGCCGTAGTGTACCGGGCTTTTAACTTACTTCTTACGGGACCCGCAGTAACAATAAAGAATTGCTTGTGTCCTGCTTCAGCTGAGCCCCACACAGTCAGAAAGTCAAGGGTTAGGGCTCCGCAAAGTGGCCTTCAAGTGACTCTGATTACTAAGGTTTGAGAAACACCGTAATCACATTGATTAAAGGTATGTTGCCAAGAAATAGTAGCTCACTGTCCAGTTAGCCTCTTCACTCTTAAATGACACAAATATTTTTCATTCATTTATCATCTTGTAGAGAGAGAAGATTGGACAGGGATGGATGAGGTTTTAAGTGATAAGAAATATACTGTAGGGTTTCTGCCAGAATTAAAATAAAAAGGTGAAAGGATGGAAGGAAATCCATGTATGAAATGGCTTAGAGATAGGAAAATACTGAGACACACGTTCTGTATCGCCATTTTGCCCAGTACCAACTTTGGATGTGATAAATCAGTACATAAGGAGAATAATAATGCATAGAGAAATTTTTTTCTTGAGAAAATTTTATTTTTGTGTTCTCTGTGAAGTTCACTGGCTAGGAATGGCATTGGGGATGAGAAGTGGGGAGCGCTGCAATACCTCTGAAATTAAGATTGCAACTTTTGCATGCATGCATATCTGATTGTGTCAGCTTGCTTCCGGAACAGCATGTACGCTGCCTGCGCACTCTGTGTTGGTATAAAGCAGACGTATAGTTAGCGTGAGGACGCCTTGTCAACAGCTAATGGGCAGATCTTCTCTAGACTTCTTGCTTCAGGACTATTACTAGCTAGCTTAATGCTCCATAAAGTAGTTCCACAGCCTTCTTAGAGCAGTCGGCATCACACCAGACTCTTCCATGAACTAAAAGATACCAGTTTATTTTGGTTGCATCCGAAGACAAGACGATACTTAAACACCTTCTCTGGTGAAACAGGAGACCCTTCTGCTGCCTCTGCTCACATTTCCGTGGTGCACTACGGGCTGAGTAAGAAGAAGCAGGTTACTGCATTGAAAACAGGCCACCAGTGTGAAAGGGCACAGGGAACTTCTCTCGGCATCTTGTGGCTATCCTGCCACTGTGGCATCATCCTTTTCTGGCCAGGAGACGTGACGTTTTATTAATTTGTACCTTTTGGAGAAGAAACATGCCCTTGTAGAGGCCACGGGGCAGGATACTGCCGTATTAGACGAGCGCTGGCCAGAGAGGAGCCCTCAGGCTTTCCTTAAGGCCCGTTGCTCCTGGTGATGAAGTCGGGTTCGTTTTCCTATCAGCTCCTTCTTAACCAAATTTTCCTATTCAAAATTCAAACCCAACATTTAATACAGATTTAAAACATCGGGTATTAAATATGCAATTAGGTATAAGCTTGTACATATTCAGTCATTATATGGTCAAGTCTTAAAGGAATTTCACTCTGTGGAACATAAAAGACACTGTTATTTCTCTCACTTCCATAATTTATAAAATCATCTTATCTATTACTATTGGTGAGTAATACTAAAGAATTTAATTGCATATTATTTTACATATGAAGGAATCTGAATAATATCTAACTTGTATCTACTGTATTCACATTTTATTTGCAATGGATAGGTACAGTGACTTAGGTACTAAGGTTACATATGCATAGCATATTGATTATACCAAATTTTAATTATTATTAAAATAGTCAATGTAAAATTTACTTAACTTTTAGATTAACTATTTTAAATTTTACTTTATAAATTATAAGACTATTTTGAACTTTACTTACTTAGAACAATACAAAAATATATTATGTTATGTTATATCAGACAGATATATTGCAGACTAATTCATTCACATATTTTTACTTTTACTATTTGATAAATAATTGTTTGGCTAAGTCTATATTGGCTCATCTCAAAAAATCTTAAAAAGAAAAAATATAATCTGAGGGACCACTCAATAATAACTTAAAGCATGTATTAAGTTTCCTGGATTCTGGCATAAACTAAAAATAAAATGTTTAAGGAACACAGCGTATAATGATGTAAAATTTGAAAGCTAGGACATATAAACATGAAACTTGAATGGCTGTTTTTAAATAACTGGCTGCTATTAAACAAAACAGTATATCAAAATAATGCAGTACCTTTTAGAATTTAAGCTCCTCACTCACTTCGACATTACTCAGTAGTGATAACATATGCTATCTAATATCAGGCCAGGCCTGGTAGTACATAATTATAATCTCAGCATTTGGGAAATTGAAGCAGGTGGACTGCAAGTTTGAAGCCAGCCTGAACGCCAAACAAGACCCATTATCTGAAAAACAAAACAGCAAAACCAAATCAAACCCCTAATAGCAAAAGGGGTGGAGCACATGAGTCAAGGTACATCAGAGGGCACCTATGTAAAATCAGAAAATCTCTGTTTGAATGACCTGCCGCGTATAGTATATGTCTAGAAAACTGAAAGAAAAAAAAAAAAAAAAAGTCTGTCAGTGTTTTGCTACTGGAATAAAAAAGGAAGCAGAGAACTGTCCACTATAGCACCTTTCATACTGATGACACTTAGAAAAAAATCTTAGATTTTTTTCTCTGATCCTGTGGGTTTTTAGTTCTCCTTTGTGTCAAAGCACTGACAAAACTATGGTGGCTGCCTCTGCATATTCAAATAGATTCCTGTTGCTTTATTAGAGCTTCACATGTAACTCATTTAGACAAGAGATGGTCCAAGATGGAGATTCTCTTCTGATATTGCTTTGAGGCTATTTTATGTGTA